CTTCCGCCTCAGCCTTCCATGTAGCTGGAACTACAGGCATGCGCTACCACACCCAGCTAAATTTTTGATTTATTGTAGAGATGAGGTCTCGCCAAGTTGCCCAGGCGAGTCTCGAACTCACAGGCTCAGGCAATCCACTCACCTCGGCCTCCCAAAGCGCGGGATTACAGGCTGAGCTACCGAGCCTAGCTTGGGACATCCTGACTGTGGCCTGGCTGGGGGTGGGAAGCCCTGAAGCCTTCCATGGACACAGTCTACCCCTCTTCTCCCCCACTTGTTAGGCACCGAGGCATCCCTAGGCCTTTCTGTGTCCTCGGCCCACTGACTAGAGTGCCCCTGCAGCTGGGATCCGCCAAGGTGCCCCTGCTCTGGGCAGCCCACCTGGGTTCCTCTGGGGAGTTCATTAGACCTGCTGGGTGTGGGTTGGGGCAGACGCAGGGCAGGGCCACCGTCATAGGTCTCTGCTGCCCTGGAGGTCGGGGGCGTGGCGACGGCACCCCGGCCTACCCGTCGGGACACTCACCAGGAAGACCAGGCAGTGCAGGAACAGGGTGTAGAAGAAGCCAATGGTGCGGGCCATCTTGTTGGAGAGAACCAGACGCCCCTGGGAGCAACCAAGGGGTGGGTGGGGTGGCCCGGCCTCACCCATCTCCGTAGGGCTGTGCCCAGCTCCCCCGGAGGGGTCCCAGGGTAGGAAGGGGAGGGAGGAGCAGGCAGTTGGGTGGCCACTTCAGGTGGGAGAACTGGGCCACGGGGTCCGGAGGAATGGCACCCTGCAGCCTGGGTCCAGAGCCCACTGTGAGCCCCACGGCAGGAGGAGCTGTCCAGAGGCGGGGAGACCTGGTCTGGGCCACATGGCCACTCTTGGCAGGGCCTGGGAGGGGTCGGCGGGGTTCCTGGGGCTTCTCCAGCCTGAGCTGGAGGGCAGGAGATGAGGTGTCCAGAGACAGGCCCAGGCCTGTCCCAGTGGGGCGCGGGGTGGGGGTACTCACCATGCTAAGGGTGGCCTTGTCCCAGGGGCTCAGGCTCAGGTACTTTCTCTGCCGCTCCTGAAGGGGGAGGGGCAATGAGAAAAGGACACCGGGGCCCCGGTCTGCCACAGGCCACCCTGCCTAGCTGTTCCGGCAGAACCTCAGGGGTGGGCCAGGGGCCTCCCTGGGTGTCGAGTCCCCCTCAGTAGGACGCTCTGGGCTCCCCCTGACCTCTGTGAGCCCCTCTTCCCTCTGCAGTGGCCTGTCCTGTGGGAAAGTTCCCTGGGGGGGGCGGGCAGGACTTCTGCGCCTGAGCAGGGAGGGAGCCGGGCACCCATCACCCCTCACCTGGCCCCGGGA